GTATCACTTGGGGAGCTTAGCAAAAATGCAGACCTGGAGCCTCATCCCAGGCTTATTGAACCAGAATCTCTTGGGTTGTAGGTGTTCATATTTTTGTAAGATTTCCCATGTGATTCTGATGTTCAGTTCATATTGAAAACAACTCTAAATTTGTCTCTAATCCTTCAGTTCATCTCCACCATCCTTGCTTTGGTTTAGGCTTTTATAGTTTCCTGTGGGTGGCGTCACAGATTACCACAAACTTGGTAACGAAAACAGATGTTTATTCTCGTACAGTTCTAGAGGGCACAAGTCTGAAATCAAGGTGTCTGCAGGGCCCTGCTGCCCCTGAAGGCTCTTAAGGGGAGAATCTTTCCTTGGCGCTTCCAGCTTCTGGGGCTCCAAATGTTCCTTGGCTTGTGGTGGTATCACCCCAGTCTCTGCTTCCGTCCTCATATGGTTGTCTCCTCTCTATCCCTGTGTATCTCTTACAAAATCACTTGCCGTTCGATTTAGGACCTGTCAGTAATCCAGGATTATGGCATCTCGAGATCCTGGATTTAATCACATCTGCAAACACCCGTTTTCCAAAAGGTCACATTCACAGGTTCCAGGACACGGACGTACCTTTGTTGTTGTTGTTGTTGTTTTCGTTGTTGTTGTTGTTGTTGTTTTAGACAGAGTCTCGCTCAATCACCCAGGTGGAGCGCAATGGTGCGATCTTGGGTCACTGCAACCTCTGCCCCCAGGTTCAAGCCATTCTTCTGCCCCTGCCTCCCTGGTAGCTAGGACACGCCACCATGCCCAGCTAATTTTTTGTATTTTTAGTAGAGACAGGGTTTCACCATGTTGGCCAGGCTGATCTTGAACTCCTGACCTGAAGTGATCCACCTATCTTGGCCTCCCAAAGTGCCAGATTACAGGCATGAGCCACTGACCCTGGCCTTGGACATGTCTGTTTAAGGTTGCCATCCAACCCACTGCATAAAGCTCTCCATGACTATGGTGGTTCTGCTGTCTGATCATCTTGCCTCTAATCTGGTCTGCTCTTGCCTCTAATCCCTTCCATTTCCTCCTGCACTGTGCCACTGCACGTGATTACTTTATATTTCCAATCATGTTAGCCATTTGCGTAAATCTTACCAGACTTTCCATTCGCCTTAGGGTGAAAAGCCATAGCACTTAGGGAGTACCAGTGATAGGGTTTAGCTCCGTGTCCCCACCCAAATCTCGAATTATAATTCCCGTGTATCAGAGGAGGAGAGGTCTGGTAGGAGGTGATTGGATGGGGGTGTGCGGATTTCCTCCTTGCTGTTCTCATGATAATGAATGAGTTCTTACAAGATCTGATGGTTTAAAAGTGTGTGGCACTTTTCCCTTCTTGACCTCTCTCCTGCTGCCATGAGAAGAAGGTGCTTTTTTCCCCTTTGCCTTCTGCCATGATTGCAAGTTTCCTGAGGTTTCCCAGTTGTGCTTCCTGTTAAGCCTGTGGCACGGTGAGTCAATTAAACCTCTTTTCTTCACAGGTAGTTCTTTATAGCAGTGTGAGAATGGACTGATACAATCAGGCCGTTAAAATCGGGCTCCTGCCTACCTTTTACCCTTCTTTCCCACTGCTGTCTCCATTTGAACTTCATTCTCTCCACAGTGCTGAACTGCCTGTAGTCCTCCTTGCCTTGCACATTGTATCAGCCCTTCACTTTCCATTTAAACTTCCTAGATTTCTTTCTCTCTTTCTTTTTCTTTTTTGTCAGTCTTGCTCTCTCACCCAGGCCGGAGTGCAGTGGTGTATGATCTTGGCTAACTGCAGTCTCCACTTGCCTGGCTCAAGTGATCTTCCCACCTCAGCTGCCCGAGTAGCCATGACTACAGATGTATGGCACCATGCCAGACTAATTTTTGTATTTTCTGTGGAGGGGGGGTTTCAACATGTTGCCCAGGCTGATTTTGAACTCCTGGGCTCAAGCGATGCACTCACCTTGGCCTTCTAAAGTGCTGGGATTACAGGTGTGAGCCGTTGTGACTGCCAAGATTTCCACAGTTCAAACAGTGCTTCCACCATGAAGCCTTCTCTAATGTGTCCTCTCATGCGCTCAGTGCTATAAGTGCATCTTGTTACATGTATATTTATCGTATTTGTTACTGTGCCTTTCTCTCCTTCTGAGAAGAGAACCCTGTGAAGGCAGGGAAGCTGATATTCATCACTGTAGCTCTAATACTTTGCATTATAAATATTGAATGAATGACCATGTAGCTTAACCTAATTAGAAACTTGTCTCATGGTGACACTAGTTTTTCCACTGCTACTTTAATTATTTCCAATAGGATTTTTCATCTAGATGTATTAAGTAAGTAGGCAGTCTGTAAGTAGACTGGCTTATTATTTGCTTAACCTGCAATATCTGTGCCTCTATGCTTAGGCAATTTAAATTAAAATGTTTCTGCATGTGTTAAGGTTGACACTTCTGTTTTCTTTTCCTCCCTTCGTTTTACATACAGCTTCTGGGTTGTTAGTAGCAGAAATCAAATTAAGTTAGCCAAAGCTAAAGGAATTTTGTCAGGAAGAGCTGGAGTACATCTGGGCTAATAGAAACCTTTAAGGATCCTCTTTCCATTGCTTTTTGTTGCTTGTCTCTGTTCATCTGCTTTTTTTTTTCACTTTGACTGCTTTTTCAGCCCTATAACACTGTGACATCCCCACAGCAGTTACAGCTCTGGCCAGCAACTGAGAATGGATGGCTGTCTCCCTGTCCCAATTTTTTATTTTCCAAAATTAGAATGTCATTGGAAAGGTTGGGCCAGATGTCAGCCTCTGGCCAATCAGCCCCAGAGTGGTGGGGAAGATGTTGGCATGGCCATTTCATTCAGACGTGGTGCTGGGGTTGGCCTTTCGAGTTAAGGAATAGACCCGAGAGAAGGGAGTATAGCTGTGATCAGATAGCCAAACGAGCATCTGCTGTCCTCTTATGAGGCTAAGACCTATTGACCTGGAGCCTATAGTTAAGAAAGATGCAGTGCATAGTTGTGCCAGACCCCTATCAACTCCAGTGGGGATGCCAGCGGATTCAAGAGGCTGAAGAAGAGACCTAGAGTTAGCAGATGAGACATGGGGTTTTGTTGGTGGCTTATATACAGGGGAGAGAGTCCAGTGGCGGTGGGTTGAGCAGGAGAACCACAACTGCATACAAAAGGCATGCAGTTGACATAGCATTTTCACTTATCGCCCTCCCCCTAACAACTGCCACTTGCCAGCCTTCACTTAATCCAAAACAAAGGGCCTTGATATCCTGTAGAGCCTGCATTCCACGGGACTGGATGGGTGCTCAAGTGTTCCTCATAGATAAGGAATAACTCTCTGGGTTGGCCACTCTCAGATACCTTAGCTTGGAACTCTGAACACACATTCAGGTAAATCTACCATACAGGTTCATTCTCAGTCACATTATTGCTGTCAGGTGTGCCTGCCATACACACAGAGCTGGGTAGAAGTGAAGGGCGTAGCAAGCCTTGCCAGATCTTATACTAATTATGTGTAGACCACAGTAGTGGAAATGTTCCTCTAAGTTGTTTACAGTCCTGACTTTAATTGGTTCACAGATGCTTCCTTTAATATAGAATGTTCATCTTGATTTAAGTGACATGGAAATTTATTAAAACAGTGGGTTTGTAATGGTTGTTGTCTCATGGATATTTTATAGTGGTCATCACAAATACGTTTAAGAAAATTATGTACACGATTCTGATCTTGCCTGAGAAAAATGAGAGGAATAAGACTTGAAATAAATTATCTTTTTATTCTAGAGACACTTTCATATAGCTGACATTCCTTTGTGCAGGAAATGGAAACATTAAAATGACAGTGAGAATAACTTACAGTGATAATTGTCAGATTGTAGCTATGAGTTGACTGGTGAAACAGACACACAAAGCCCCTTCGTTCCAACTTCTGTTCCCCAGTGGGCTTTATGCCCCTGCTTCCTCCATCCAGCCACTCCCTTCTGGATGTAGTTGGAAAAGTGGAGAAGGCCCAGGAGTCTGCAGGATGGGAACAAACCACCAGACCTGCTGTCTCCAAACCTTGGTGTTTTTGGGGGAGCCTTGCAGCTATCTTACAAATCTGTGTAAATTTTAAATGTTCCTCCTTTTAGTTTCTTGAAAAGAGCTTCTGCCAAGGTGGAAGCAGAGAATAGCTGTGTTAATGTAGCAGTGTGGGCCATCATTGAGAACATACAGGTGCTGATTAATCCAGAGTTAGAAAATACAATTGAAAATTGAAATTCTAACTGTGATCCTCAATTTCTTTTAAGCATTGATACTAGCTAAATGCAGGAAATCTGCTTAAGGATATTATATGCTTTCTATATGACTTTGAAGTTATTTGACAATTTGTGGACTAAAACTCATGAATATGTTTTACAAACTAATTTTTGCTAACAAAAAATACATTTAATTTCTGCAAGCTGTTTTTTGCTAATCTGACAGTGTAGGGTTCAAGCAGAAATGGGAATGAATGTGGAGGATTCAGAACTTTTAAGAAAACAAGTAACTAAATTGGTTGTCTTATAAATAAAGATCCTGCAGATAACATTAACTTGGTTTGAAAATGAGAGATGCGGTTTAATTAGTATGCTATTTTCTAACTAGTTCGTTTAAAAATATTTCTCAAGCGTATCTCTGGGGTCTATTAGAATGGTGCTAGTTGAATTGAGCCAGCCCTAATATGGCCTCTGCAGAATACTCATTTGCTTATTTATACTCTGCCTCTTTCCAAAAAGATTTGAAGAGTCTGACTTTATAAAATAGGAAACCTATAAGTACTTGTACATCACTCTTAAATTAAATTCCTGGAGGTGATGTGAATTTCATTACAACCAGAGTCTGTGTTGCAGCCCTTTCCCTTTGTGGAGTGTTTAGTGGGCAATTCCTTTATGACCATTCCTGTCTTTCCCTTAGTCCCTCTAACTTTTATGTTTAAAATTTGAAAAATCTGCAGATAGATGAACTCTTTCTTCTGTTTCTAGGTACAATGGTGCTTTACCCAATGGCGATAGAGGACGGAGGAAAAGTAGATTTGCCCTCTACAAGCGGCCCAAGGCGAATGGCGTCAAACCCAGCACGGTCCATGTGATTTCCACGCCCCAGGCGTCCAAGGTAGGTGGGTCTGGCAGGGTTGGGAGGGTGCTGATAAACAGTGACTCACAGATAATCCTTGTCTGCCGCTCCTTTTCCTTTAGTCTTGTTTTCACATTGGACAGTCTCTCAGACCATTTGAGCCTTGTTGTGAGGGGCCATGCTGTGCATTATAGGGTTTTTAGCAGCTTCCCTGGCCTTTACCTGCTAAATGCCAGTGGCATCCCCCCCATTCTTGTTCCCCACAGTTGTTAACCACCAAAAATGTCATTGCAGCCTGTCTCCTGGGGAGGGCTGGGCAGGCAAAGTCTCCCCTGTTAGGAAGCACTGCCTTAGGATACAAAGCAGCTAGCATATATTAATGTGGAATAGATGTAGTTGAAACATGATGTTCTTTATCCTAAAGAGTTTTTGTTTTAAATCTCGGTATAAACCTTATGATTTATTTTCCTTCTGTTAATTGAGTATGGTAGGTGGTTTTACATAATCTATATGTACATGGAATTAAATTTGTGTGGCTCTTAGAAAGATGAAAAGTATGCAGGACCAAGTGATAAAAGAAGCCAACTATACATATTTTTTTCTCGTAATTTTGAAGTGAATAAAATGCTAATTAAAAAAAACTGGTTATTTTGTTTTCTGATCTATAAGTTGAGGAAAAAATCTGAGTTTTAATTCTAGTTGGTATAGGTTACATAGTAGATTTATTACAGTGTTTCTTTAAATAAGTGCTTTAATATAGAATAATATAGTCTTATTTTATATAAAATTATATTTACATGAAGTCTTTCATATGGGGCTATTGGCTGTACCTGTTTATCATGAGATTGGACCATCTGGAGTATAAAGGAGAGTGTTGATTTCCATTTTAACTAAAAACCTACTTTTGGAAGAAAAAGGAATGGTTTCATGGAAGCACATGGGATATTTATATGCGATGTAAACATAGATCACCTTTGTTAATGTTTTTATTTTAAAAAGCTCCTATTTCTGAAGCAGTGCCATGGAAAGAATTTGTTAGGAGGTGCTGCTTAAAATGATCTTGTATTAATGAGGGGATGAGTAGATAAGAAAATATCAAACACCAAGGAGACAAGAAAGGTTAATTTTCGTAGATACGACAAAGCTAGAAAGAGAGAAATAAACTAAACATTTTTAGGCAGGAAGGACATATTATAAACAAAAACAATCCAGCTTTACAAAGATTCTGAGGACAGGTGGAGGTAAAATAGCAACAGAATCTTAAGAGGTCAAAAAAATAGGAGAAACATTTTATACTCCAAAAATGTTTGGTGAAGAACGATACCAAAACACATGTTTTTAAGCATGTGATAAGTGCCAGAAATGTTCTGGTATTATAGATGTGGTCCTTATAAGTTTGTCTGTTTGTTGACATTTCTTTTTTTTTTTTTTTTCCCTTCTCTTTTAAAAAAAATCTTAGGTTCATTTTAATACAATAGCTGACATTTTAAAAAATTTACAGAAATCTTGCTTTGATTACTCAGGCTTCCTGCTGTGATAGAGTATGAACATTTGAAACTATTGAGAGAAAAGTGTCTCTTCCTCAGTCTTTACCCACTGCTATCTCCTCCCGTGTTAGCCTTTTATGTTTTACCTTTATTCCTAGATTTTACTTCAAGTTATTTAGATTTTTATCTTTTAATAATTGTCATCTAAATCTTTGTTTAAAAATTATTATCCGCAGTACTAAGAGTAGGGCAGATTGGGTTTTGTTCTTGACCCTCTATATTTTATAATCTGGGAAAAATACATTCTCAGGGCCTAAGTTTATTCATTAGAAACTGAGTAAATTGGCTTCAGGCAGGAGCTCTGTTGAATTAGACAAGATACTTTGATTATAACCATAGAAATTATTCTGGCTAAGATAAAACAGACAAAAGTAAGAGAAATTATTATAGGCTAGCTCTCAGAATCCAGGAAAAGTTGAGTAACCAGGTTTTGAGAGAGAGGAGAACTGGAGTATCAACGAGAGTGAACATGGGTATTTTTTCAGGAGTGTTAGATAGTGAGTGTACCCCAGCCACCTTCTGTCTCTTTTAAAGCTTTTGCATTTTCAAGAGAGAGAATCTGATAGGCCTACACCGGGTCACTGAACTATGTCCCAGGAGTTGGGCAAACTAAGACCAGACATGTTTATTGTGAGCAGATCAACCAGCCCATGTTGCCTCTCAAACTCACCCTGGCCAGCTGTGCCCAGCCACTCCTGCTGCTAGGTTTGCTCTGTTGCCACCTTCTACCTTGAAGCCCCAGCTAGCTGCAAACTCAGCCCTTTACCTATTTAACCTTTTCTTCAGATACCCCTCCCACTTCCTGGCTTTAACTGAATCAGACTTTCAACCAGTGCACTCTTTAATTATTTTTTCCATGTCTTCCAGTTTGTGGAACGTATTTCAGTGACTCAGAGCCGACCCCAGAGCCTTTCCCTGACCCCTGTAGCACCCATGGTTCATAGTACTTTAACTCTTTCAGTTTCTTTTCCACTTTTCCCACTAATACAGTGCCCTTTACAGCCTGTTGTCACTTGGAAATGAGAATTATGTCTAGTTCATTCTGTTTCTTGGCATACTTCCTTTTCTCTTGTCATCAAGACATCCAGCCCATTAGCCTCTGTTTGCCCAGTGTTTGGCCCGTGTGGCCTCTCCAGGTATGTCTTAATTTCCACTCAAGATTCTCTTTCTCTGGGCTCTTTTGTATCCCTCTTCCCGTGTCTGTGTCTCTGGTCCCTTCCTGACCCTGCCAGACTTTTTTTTTTTTTTTGTCTTTATTGCTCACTCCATGCGCCTTAAGAATGCCAGTAAATGTCGTGGTACCTTGCAAAAACTGGGCTGAATTGACAGTGGTGTGTGTACCCGGATGTTTTTGATGCTGCAGCATTGGTAATGAAAGGTTCATCTTTGATTGGAGTTGTGAAAGTGGGACCTAGAAGGGTGAGTGTGGTTATCCATCGCTAGGATTTGAGCTGTTTGCCTTTTGGCTGTGTTGTTTCTTCCCTCTGCCCCAATCATTCCCTCTGCCCACCTTCTGGGGCAGAACAGAGATATCCCTTTGCTGGTGGTCATGGCAGCGGGGAAACAGGACCTCTTAGTTTTCCAGGCATGTCTATATCCAGGCTAAGTCAGATGAGGATGGCAAGTATGTGCTACTGTTGTGTAATCTCTATTTGTATAATCTTTATTCATGTACATATTTGCTCTTAGAATAATACTCAGAGGTATTTCTCTGATTATGTAATGTGCTTTTTTTAAAAAAAAATCAAAAGTCCTGTTTTACTTTTGGCCATTCTATTGCATGGGCATAGGGCCTTTAGCAATTTATTCACCCATCCATTTATTCAACAAATATTTATTCAGCACCTTCCATGGTCAGGCATCATGCCAGGTATTGAATATTCTGCCTTGAACAAACACATCCGCATGGAGCTAAACATCTAGTGAGTGGGCAAATGAGAAAGAATCAGAGGCTACACATGCAACTGCACATTGTGGAAAGGTCTAAGAGGAAGGGCACAGAATTTAGACTGGGTTTAGGGAAGGACCTTGTAAAAAAGCGGTGTGAGAGTTGCGAGCTGGAGAGGAGAGAGGAGTTGATCAAAAGAGCAGAGATCCAGGGGGCTTGTGGGCCTACCTAGAAAATTTGGGTTTTTATATCAGGGGAAATACTGAAGGATGTGAAGCAGAGGGAATGGCACATGACTGAGAATTCAAGTCAATGTATGTGTTCATTTACTTTTTTTATGACATGGGACAACTGTTTTGCTCTTACTTAACCAGCAAATAGTATGATGGTGGTGGTGGTGGTGATGGTGGAGATGCTGGTGCCTGATAGGAAATATTTTCTAGCTTCATGTTTTAAATTTAGCAACATTACTACGGAAAAGTCTTCATCATGGTTTTCCCTTCTTAGATTATGCTTTATTGAAATGTCCTTTTTTGGGTATTTTTACTTTTAAAAGTAACTGAAAATCACTTTACTCTAGCTGGCCCGTTTCCCAAATGGAAAATATTAGTAGTCTTTGATAGTTTAGAGAAACATTAGGGCCATTTAATGTCATTGCTGCAACCAGGGTTGCTTGCTCTTTACCCCGTTTGGGCTGGTATGGCTCTACTGATTGATAAATTATTGAAACACTTTCTTATCAGTTGATGAATAATAAAACAGTAAGCATGAGAAGTGGTAAAAGTAACAATCTAATTTTTAACGTACACTCATTCGCCCCAGCTGGTTGTGTAGGATGTTGTGGGATCCACTTGGGAAGTGCTTACTGACTGTCTGCCAAGCCTGTCTCCCCTGGCAGTGAGTGGCGTTGATCTCCGGCACGTTCATGATGGAGCTGGGGCGTCAGTGCTTCGGGAGAGCCATCGGCTTATCATCAGCCTTAGACTTTCTTGTTGCTCCTGCTTTTAAATAGATCTCTCTTTGGTTTATTTCATTGTTACTGCATTATAACTCTTGAATTAGTTATGTGTGGTGTTTGATACTTGTAAGTTCAAAAATTAATTTGTTGAGTATTGTATTTTAAATAAAGAGGCAAGAGAGTTTTGGGTAAGTTTTCTCTTTTGATGTCATAAAGATGAATATTTTGAATCTCTGAGAGAAGAAAAAATAACAGTGATAAAATGCAGCTAAGACTATCTTTAATACTATGCAGGAATAAAAACCTGAAACAAACGATTTGTAGGTCTAGAATCAAAAACAGTTTATTTCAACAAAAAATGTAAACATAAATCAGTCTCCAAAAAATTGAAATAACAACGTCCAAAAACATTTTATCTGAGAGTTTTGACAAGGCAAAGGAAAAAAAAATTTATGAAGTATCAGTATAATATACTGCATAGTTTAAAATAATTTTCTGACATACAGTATTTATTAGGACTTCAAAAATTGTTTTTATGTGAATGTAGCATAGAAGTTTAGGTTTATGGTCCTGATTGTTGCAAAACATATATCTACTGAGATGCAAAAACACATTTTGGAGAACTTATAAATCAGGGCAGTAAAAT